ACGTACAGTAGTGAGGGCAGGGGTTACAGCTGTGGTAACGGGTGTTTGATTTTTTGCGGTGCGCTGCCTGTCGTGCTTGTCGTTTTTTTTTTCTTGCAACATCGAAGCGGGTGCGCCAGGCAAACAGGAGAGAATTTGTCCCGACGACAGTACACAAATAAGCAAATAAGTGAGGTGCAGAAGAAAATCAAGAACCAAAGAGCGCCCCAAGACAACAAAAAGAAAACTCAACTCTGCCCACGCCCATGCTGGAACTTCACTCAACAGTACAGTAATAGTGTCGATCCATTTCGTTCTTTGTTGGCCCCGTAAGCGTGGGCGCTACACCATAAATCGAACACAACCTCATTAGTGCCGGTACCGGCACTAATGAGGGATTGGCCAGCCCTCAATAGTGCCGTTTTGGCACTATTCGCAATAGTGCCGGGTGCCCGATTTAGTGCCGGCGAACGCTCTGTGCACGTACCGGCACTAAAACCTCGACTGTAGTTGGCCTGTGACCACGGAAGGCGTTCGCGTCGTTGTATCGGTAGCTACTGAGCAGGCACCGGAAAGGCTTTTCGCTTTGAAGAGAAAACGTTCGTGTTTTTTTCTACATGACAAAATCAAGTTCATGTGAGGAAGGCAAGCGGACAGATGACAGAAAAAAACCGAAAACGGTCCATATCGTGAGAAGCGAGACACGCAGCAGCATAGAGACGTGTTTGTCTTGCTGGAGACATTCCGGATTTTCGATATCCAACTATCGTCGAAATGATCCTGATGACAGCAGTCTCTACTCTGTGTGTCTACTACTGTGTGCGTTTCTACGATCGCGCACACCAATTGCGACTACTGTACAAGTACGTAGTCTCCCCCAAGCAGCGAAGATCCCTGCCAACAGGATCCTTGCCAACAGGAACTTCTGGATACGATCACTGGTACAAATAGTACTTCTATATCAATATCATCAGTGTTACAGACTCAAATGAGCCCAGTACCCAGCCGGTTTCCCTCCACTCACTGCAAAGACTCAACACATCCCCTTCGACTTCTGCGGTACATCTCCAACGAGTCGTCCATCTGTGTCTGTATTTTTTCCTGGATGTAATATGATAGCCAAAAGAGTGAACAGCAGCAGTCTAAGGATTTTGGACTATTTACAACGGATCTCGGTCTTTTTCGCCCCAACCTGCGGTACACACCAAACACAACACCTGCTGTAGGTCCCATTGTACATCTGGCGTCCATCGATCTTCAGAGTCAAGAACTGCTAAATTTGCCCGATGCATGTGTATCTACTGCTGTACATGTATGCGTATGCATATCTCGTTGTGAGGCATCGAAGAGTTATCGTCGTCGATGATGACGTTTGTCGGGTGTACGCGTGTGCAAACATCTTCGATCCTTTCGATCACGTATCTTGGAACAAAAAGAACATCATCCGACGGCTGACAGCAGAGGGCGGTTCTCTTCATCTTTTCGATCTGCTGTACAACTACATTTTCCCCACACCGCCGTCCCGAACACATTGGACGCTTGCCGCCGCTACTTGACTATCATCTCCCTTGTGCGATCCTCCCCTTCCCATGTGAGCTTCTCCACGTGCATCGGCTGCGTGTGTGTGCAGTGGAGAGGAGGGTCGCGCACGCGGGCGATGCACATGGCGCCAATCTACAGCTTCCTTGTTGTGTGTTCGGTGGAGCGGTGGTGTGGGATTTTCAGGTCTGTTTGCGTCTCTATGATGACAGCAGTCTGGTAAAAAAAATGTTCCCAAGGCCGTGGGTGCGACGCCAGACATCCGAGCATCTCATACAAGCTGGCCACAGGACTCTAACTAATACGACCACGGATCACGGGGGGCAGGGCCGAGTTGGGGTATGGGTTGCGTCCGCGCTCACTCTGTTCTTCTCGGGCCATCCAAAAACCTCAACTCAAATCACTCTGCTGCTGCTGCTGCTGTACAGCAGAGTAGTCTAGTCGGCGGTGGATTTGTTGGCCAAAAACAAACGCCGGACAATCCGTGCACACGCCTCAAAATCCCAGAGCTCGGGGAACCCACACACACGCACGTCGTGGGAGGGCGCTGCGCGTCAGCATGACGGCAGGGACTATCAGGAATAACCGTTCTTTACACAAGGAATCGAAGAGCTGATGCTGTGATCGGAGCTACATAGATACATGGCAGACGTGTTTGCAGAATCTGAAAGAAGGTAGCCGACGAGCCGACACAAGCTTTGCATACGTCTATTCTGTCTTTACGCCTCTCGTCTCTACACTTTTTCCGTTCTTCCGTGCTTGCGGTAGATACATACATCCAAGGGCGGTACGGAATGAGACAAAGGCGCTGTAGGCAGACAGCAGCAGGCGAAGAAAAGGGGTCGGCGGTAGTGGTGGGGTAGTACAGAGGGCGGAACAAGAGTCGTCGTATGGTGATCTCAGACATATTGACGTAAAATGTAGTTGAACGTTGAACGTACGCACGAAAATACCGCCTTCTCTTTCTCCCCTTCGGCAACAACACCTCAGCAAAGTACCATGTCGTGCGTACGTACGTCGATCCAGTCTAAAACACTATCAAACGCCGAAAAAAAAAAAAAGAGGGTCGCCAGTCGCCTCTTCTCTTTCTGACGAAGAGACGCGGCGGCTACGAACTTTGTCAAGACACCACCAGCACGGGGCAATCCTCGGCGCGCGCGGCGTGCTGCGGGAGAGACAAGGGCTTCGTGAGAGAGCCGTCCCAGCCGGGTTTATGCGCGCGCCCCAAAACCGCGTGGGCACCAACAAGAGCGGGGAGAGAGGAAGAGAGGGGCGAGAAACCACACACGCTGCTGTATTCTCTTTGGTGCCGGTTCAGCCTTAAGTTCAACACGGCCGACGAACATATCCAACGCGCACAGTCGTTCGTCGTGCTTCGGGGGGCGCGGCACACGATCCACGGCGGGACAGGGCAGAACGGGCTCGGAGTCCCGCCTCGATCGCGGCGATGATTCGCACGCCAAAACGATCACGGCGTTTGTCTCCGCCCCTGGAACACCCACCCGCTCTCTTCTTCCTTCCAAAAACCACTTGTCCTAACAGCGAAAAAAAAAATTACGAATCTCTCGCCTCATCTCTTCACAGCAAAAGCAAGCTCTCATCGGCTTCTCACCTTCGCCCCATCCTCTCTGCGCGGGGTGCATCGTGCCCCGCCGGTGCGAAACGTCTCTCTCCCACACAAGATGTACTCGGTTCAGTGTTCGCTTTGACGGGGGAGGCCTCTGGTGTGCATTCCGTTCGAGGCGAATAAACAGAGTATGTCAAGAGAGGGAGAGAGGAGAGAGGGCGCGCGAACACCCCAGCAGCCCCGTCATAAACAAAAAGCGTTGTGTCATATTAAGAAAAATAAAAAAGTAAAAACGCGAGGGGGGAGTCGCGGTCTCGATATGAAGAGACCGAGAGGTACCCTTCGATTTCGGTCGCATGTCATCAAGTCACACATGACATGTGTATGACACGGAGCAGTAACAACAGCAGCGACAGGCAGGTTCTGTGAGTGGTGCCGAGCGGTGGTGGGCATTCCTTGGTCGTCGCCCGGCATCCAGCAGCGAGAGGGAGAGAGAAACGGAAGGCGCCGCCGTGTGGTAGGAGCTCTAGACCGGATAAGATGGTGCATACCATGCGGACACTGATGCCCATCATGGTGGCCTTTACCAACCACTACCACCACGGCGTTGCTGCGTTCAGCTTAGGACCGCGAGGTGCGTGCAGTGGCATGTTGCACCGAAGCACCACGCAGCTGTGTGTTTGGGAGCGTGCTGCGTACGATCTACGTGCAATGGGCTGCGCGCATGTTGTGTAAACTACAAGTTGTAGGTCAGCAGTGAGTTGCAGTACTACCAGCGAGGGCTCCAGATTAACATGCTCTTCCCGCCTTCCTGTACCTGTAACACATCTTAGCAGTAGACTACCGTATATGACACAAGATAACACACCCCCTGGACCGATTTTCAAAGCTCGATTACTCCACGACGAAGAGGATGCATAAATGAAACAATACGTTTTCGAACAGCTCTCGACGAGACGGTTCCAACGCCGCCGTTTTCGGCGCTGTGACTCTTCCTGCTGTTGAGAAATCGAGCTTTGAAAATCGGCCAAGGGGGTGTGTTATCTTGTGTCATATACGGTATACTGTCTTCATGTGCACCTATCATAGCAGAGGTTAGCACACGCAACGAAGGCTATTACTAATTCAAGGTACGTCGCTTTTGTCTCCGTCTCGCGGTCTACGAGGGCTGTGGGAGACCGACTGTAAGGTTGCAGGGAGAGCACCACACAGCAGTACACGGCGAGTTACATAGTGCGCGGACGGAAAATCCAACAGCGTGTATTTACTTCTACAATCTACCTGCTGCAACGGTGTTATTGTGTTTGTTGATGCTATGATTTGATGGTCAACTATGCACGTATCCTGCGATACTTGTAGCTTGTAGCAGAGGTTCGTGCACTACAGGTGCACGTGTTGTTGTCAAGTGGGCGCTGCGCTTGATCTCCATAAGCTGGAGGTGACCTCACACCAACGGCGGTGCAGTCTAGCCTCGCAGAGCAGGCAGGCCCTGCTCTGCTGCCGTGTAAGATGCGGAACCTGGCTTGGCCCGACGTCTTCATGCAGGGAGACGGTTGGTCGTGACCTACCGTAAGAGGACCTACTGCTGTATCTACCTGTAGCGTTGAGCTGCCCGTGTCGAAGACGTCTCTTGTCTTGTGAGATGGGGAGGCGGTGACAGAACGCCGAACGTGAGAGTCGGCCTGCAGCGGTTTACCTGAGCACGCGTATGTATTGCCGTCCATACCGAACGTTTCTCGTCCTCATCTCCTACCTTGACGTTGCTGCTGCTGCTGCTTGGTACCCACGTCCCACGCGCCGCCCAGGGGTACGAGTCGAAACAGGCCGATTCTCTTTGTTCGCGTCGTCGACGTCCTCCGTCTCCTCCCGATGTGCCGCCGAAGTTAGCCCTGGCGCCGGCAGCAGTGGCGGCAGCATGCCTGGCGGCCTCGTTGGCGACCACCGCTACGACGAACAGCAACAACGCGGGCCACCAGCAACCGGGCAGCGGCAGCGCCGTGGTCGACGACGTCTTCTCCCCAACAACGAAGCCGGGAGCGCCGGCGCCGGCGGCCCAGGCAGCAGCCGCGCCGCGCGCAGGACAAAGATGAAGGACGAGTCAGTCATTGGGGCAGAGGTGTCGTTCTCACGCGCGAGTGCGTTAAAAGGCATGTCAGGCGTGATGGCGGGGCTGTTGTTGGCGGGGGTGGGGGGGGGGCTTGGAGGGATCGTCGGCGCGCCGGCCGCGGCGAGGGCTGAGCAAGGGCACAAGGAGCAGCAAGATAAGGAAGGGGCGTTGGAGGAGTACGCGTCGCCCGACGGGAGCTTCGCGCTGCGGTACCCGGTCGGCTTCAAGGGGTTCTCCAAGCCGCTCAAGACCCACAAAGTCGAGGTGATTTTTCAGAAGCAACGGAGGTTGGTTGAGTCAACTGTTTGTGCGGGGCCAACGAAGCAGCACTGCTGTCACAATCAACCTTGCTCTGCTGTCCGCTCTCCGCTCGGTACCCTTCCTCCAACGTTGCTTGGTGTCTGTGCTTCGATCGCCGTGGGTAAGGTGTTCCCTTGCGTGTTCCTAACAGCGTGCTTTGCAACGTACTGTAAGTGCTTGCAACGTGAGTGGTAGTTCTCCCGATTGGAGCCGTAAATCAGCTTCGATGCCCCTCCCCACCCCAAGTCAAGTTGGCGAGCTTCGCTTCGAACCAAGCTGAGTTGCTACGAACGGCCTAAGAGTTCCCATTAGGTGGATATCTTGTACCACTCACGCACACGTTTCGCCGCACGCCCTCCAGAGGGGGAACTCTCTTCTACTGCTGTGACTGATCCATCTTTCATTCTCTTGTTGACCCTCTCTCTCTCTCTCTCTTCTTGCTCGATGTGTACCTATATCTCCACCGCGCCTGTTGGCCGCCGTCGGCCACTTCCATTCCTGGGTCAGGTGAACTTCAAGAGCGAGGAGGTGAAGGGGTACGAGGTTGGCGTGGCGGTAAGCACAAAGGACAAGATAGCTTGGCAGGGTACAGCAAGATCTGGGCGGGTTGCGCTTATACAGGCTTTGTCTTTGACCGCTCGTCTGATCGAGGCTTAAATCTTGGAGGGGGGGGGCGCGGGAGGGGGGCGCGTTCTCGCTTGTTGCTGGCCTTGGTGGTGTGAAAGCCGTGTGAAAGCTAAGGTTGACCACGCGGCAGGACGGTCTCTTTCAGGCACACGGGGGGGAGGGAGCATCGAGAGGCGACGAACTTGCTCTGACGTGTCTTGAGCGGGGTAAATTACTACCAACAGGGGTTGGTGTGTTTTGCACGCACGCACGCACGCACGCTCGTCTCTATCTCTCTGTCTTTCTCTCTGTCTCTCTCTTTCTCTGTATCTCTCTCTCTCTATCTCTGGGTACACTCGTTTCAAGCCCATATGTGGAAGAGATATCTAGGCGTTCGGAATTCTTAGAAGTGTTTTTGACCGACGATCTTTCGTGAGTTTCACCGAGTACACTGCTGTTTATTATTATTATTATTCTATGGAAGTCTTTCCCGGTTGAACCCAGCAGACCGGCCTCGACACAACCGTGGTGAACCGCGCACGTTCGGTTGCCTTTGTTAGTGCAAGTCAGTCGCCGCCCCCCCCCCCCGCCCGAGGTCTTGTCCTCTATCGGTACAGCAAGGACGAGAAGTGTAACTCCCCGTGCCTTTTGGGCGCTAATGGAGTTGCCGTCCTTTTCATCGCGTGCCCCCCCCCACCCTATACCAATGGGGAACCGCTTCCTAGAAGTAGAAGATGGCGATGGTAACGGCCGCGAAAGACTCACCCTTGTTCTTTTGTGCCTGTCTCCACGGAGAAATCCGGTCATACTCTCAAAGCACGCAACACATTACAGAAGGAAACCCCAACCTTCTTGCCGCCCCCCCGCCGGGCATACCCTCTCCGAACATAACCCTCCCCCCCCCAAAACGACGCTGACGTCTTTGTCGAAAACCGGAAACAGATCGACCCGGTTAGGATAGAGTCCCTGGAGACGTTTGGAACTCCTGAGGAAGTAGGCGCGAGGGTGCTCAAGGTGGAGCAGGCAAAGGACGGGACGCTAGACACCAAGCTCTTGGACACTAGCGCGGAAAAGCAGGGGGACTTGTCGCTCTACACCTTGGTGAGTGTGTGGGCGAGTATGAGGGGAGAGAGAGGAGAGAGGCAGGTGTGGGGTGGGGGGGGTAGAGATTGGTGTAACGTGGGGCAAAAGAAGAGAGAAAGAGAGAGATGGGCAGACAGCGACGGGAAGAGAGAAAGAAGACAGAGGTACTATGTAGAGGGGAGGGAGGAGAGTGAGTGGGTCAAGGGGTTACGGCACGGGGACAGAAAGAGAGACAGGCAGACAGATAGAGACAGACACACACACAGAAAGGCAGACAGACAAACAGACAGATAGAGAAGCAAGCAGGTAGGCAGGCAGGCAGGCAGGCAGGCAGGCAGAGGTGTCAGTGGCGGAGACAGAGACTCTTCCGCCCTCCGTGCTTGCTTGGTGTGTTCCAGGGCGGAAATGGTTTGTCGTCCTGCATCTCGTCATGAGATGGATAGATGGTAATATTTTGTGGCATATGCACACGAGAACATTATACAAGCATGCCTTGGTTGATGGGCATCAACTACCGCAGATCGCGCTTTGAGAGGGGATGCATGGCATTCGTGTCGATGCTGCTTTGTTTCTTTATGCAGCCTGCCAATGGGCAAAGTCTAAAGTTTTCGCTCTCTGCACCAAACACAGCCCCGCGTGTGTGTACACTGCTGTGTAGCTGTACTTGGCATGGTGAAGCGAGACTTACTACCGACCCATCTACACGTAGTCACACGGTGGTAGAGCTAGCCGCTAGTTTCACGTCAGGTGAGAAAGAGGGGCTGTTTGGAGGCCGACAGCTTGCTGTCAGGAGCGCAGTGAAAAGGTGACCCCTGGACCTTGATATGTATTGTTAGACAAAGCGAGAGTGGGTAGAGAGAGTGCGTGGAGGCTTTGCTGGGGCCCCCGTCTCCCAACAGCCCTGCCACCACATGCACGCATCCATGTAACGCGCAGAATCTCCGTAGATCAGTATCGAGTGCCGAGTACCCCAAACCGATTGTTGCGCGCTACTCTGTTGCGGCGGAGACGCTTGTGGTGTCATTCGCCCTGCCACTCCAAGAGCCGCAATAAACACAGTAGTCCGGACCTCCAGGAAAATACGATCGCCGCTGTAACCCTTTACGCCAAATAGCGCTAGCCTAAGTTGTTCTGAAGCATCCCTGGATTTATGCTCTCACTACTGCTGTCCGTTGCTGCCCCTGCTATCGTTGGTTGTTCTCCATCGCGACGCGTTGGCTCTTAACTTGTTATTGCCCCGTTGTTCCTCCTGCCCCCCCCCCCCCCCCTAGTGGGGACAATGCGCTGCTGCCTCGAGGACGCGTGGTCAATGGTCTAATAAACTATGCAGAAAAAATGAGTACGCCCCCGCCCCGCCCCTGCTTCTGCCCGCTTACTTTCTTCTCAGGACTACTTCGTGGAAAGCACGAGGGGCTTCAAGCACTTCGTCGCGAAGGTGACCATCAAGGACAACCTCCTGTACGCTTGCACGGCGCAGGCCAAGGAAAAGGATTACCCTCAGGTATACTCCGCCCAGAGAGCGAAACACGTCTGTCTCTACTTTCCTGCCATGCCCCGTTAAGACCGTCCGGCGGCAATGTTGATCACCACCACCTCTCTCCTGCTTGCGGCGGGTTTGCAGCGACAGAGGCGTGTTGGTCTTGCCTTGTTGCTGTTTGTCGTGTTGTTGCCGTTACGACGAGGCGAACCGGTCTTCAAGCACTCCTCCTCTCGATTAGACTTCGCTCAAATGAAATATCGCTACGCACACACCGCGGGGTGGAGGAGGCTTCCGTTGGGTCACCTTCGCCCCCCCCTCCCCCACCTCACCTATTTCTTGTCGTCACCAGCTCTCCGCCCCCCACAAGCACCTAGTAAACCCACGGCGTAGCCCCCGCCCTACTTGCCTTGGAAGCAACTGCAACCTGAACGAAGTGACGTCACTTCGACGCCTGTACCCATGGGCTGGGATGTGGTCAGTTGTGGACGGATGGAAATCCTCAGGGAAGGCAACACACGGAGGGGCACCCCCCCCCCCTCCCCCTCCCCTTCTCGCCCCTGACCGCGTCACCCCTCACCTCTCCCCTCCCAGGTGGAGGCTGAGCTAAAGCGCGTTGTCGAGAGCTTCCGGGTCCTGGCGTGACTCGACGCAAACGTAGCGGCCACCCCAACGAACGGTCTGATTCTAGGCGGGCGGGGGGGGGGGGGGGGAAGAACCCAAACTCCTGTGGGCACCGAAAAAAATTTTTTTGTACAAGGGGAGGGGTTAAAAATTTTTTTTTTATGGTTTTAAAATTTAACCCCAGGTTTTTTTGAAAAAAATAAAGGGGGGGGGGGGGGGGGCCTAAGGGGGGTTCTTTAAAAAAAAAAATTTTTTTAAAATCCCTTCCACCTTATGTTTGTCTGTAATTTTTTTGGGGT